TTTACCATTTCTCTGTCGTCCCTTTAGCTCTGTGTGTACATTGACTGTATTCATCTGTGTCCAGTAGAGTTTAGAGTGTTACAGTCTACAGGAACATTACAATGCCCTTGTTTACCTTCCCTAAACAGCTTTGTTAGATAACAGAACTTGAACAAGCATTTCCTAGATAGACAAAATGCCAGTGCAAACTCACCTCACTCACTACCCTAGCTAATGCAAACAGTCCAAGCTATGGTTACACACCTGTCACCAAACAAAGCCATCTTACCCATCTAGTTGTTGTCAAGCTTTTGTGTTACAGGATCTTAATCTGCTATATGTTGAGAGATGGACTACAGGATTAGCTTGACCACATAAATTACCTTTTGTAGAAGGCTTGGACAGAGCCAGGACAGCTGTTTTTAACTTTTAGTACTCTTTCATGTCATTTATTTGTTTAAAAGGTATATCCAGATATAAAATTGGCACAGACAATTGAACTCTTTCAAGAACAGTAATAAAAAGAAAAAGATCTCCATGGTATAGTGACATAACATAACAAGTGGTATTATTTAAATTTTCCTTGTGTTTTTCCCCAGTAATCAAATCAGTTACCTTCAAGGTAACATTATACACATTAAGTTTTTTTTTTTTTTAATTTGTTTGTCTTTGATGGTTACATCTGTTGACTCATATTTTCCAGTTTTTGTTGAGCATTTCTTTGTTTGACAATCCAATAATGGAAAATAACATTATAATACACACATACTCACAGCATTTACATTGTCCCAGCACAGCATTTTCACACTGCAGGCTTACTTGTGGTTCCTGTGGCAGAGCCTTCAGCTATCAAGCCCTCTCCAATGGAACCAGCTCCCAGTTTGGGTTCAGAAGACACTCTTTCTACTTTTAAGATTAGAGCTCAGTCTTTTTAATTAAGGCTTATAGGCTCAAACTACTGCCTAACAGTCACAACAGGAAAATAATTGAAATGTAGGGCATTAGCAAGAAAAGTAAAAGACCAACTGTACTTGTGTCAAGTTTCCCTGCTGTTTACTAGGAGATGCAGGAGGACACTGACGAGACTGATTCACTAATTGAACACAGGTGCAGGTTTAGCACAAAAAGAATGCAGGAATGTGGGCAAAGCTTGCAGCAGACCAAACTGGACTTTAAGCCAAACAGAGATTTCAAAATAAAAGAGTAAGTGACTAAACAAAAACAACACAAAGACGCTAAGGTTCTTACCATGAAGCATCCTTCAGTCTCCTCTTTTCATTACTGATGCATTTGTATATCAGTAATGCATATCATCAACTTGTCTGTCCTCTCCTACTTCTACTTCCTGTGTTATATTATTTTGGTGGCCTCTCTGTGTTCCTCCTTTATCTTCTCTTTGCCCTCACAACACATCCACTCATGGCAGATGGCTGCTCCTCCCCACATCCTTTTTCTATTGGAGGTTTCTGCCTGTTAAAAGTGAGATCTTCCTCACCACCAAAACCAAGCGTTTGTGCACTAGGGACTGTGATCACTGGAGTTCTTTTATGTTTTTGTAGGGCCTTTCTGACAATATAAAGTTCACAGTTCAATTCAAAATCAAACTGAACTGAATTGGATGTGTCATCATGCCAATGAAAACTCACATCACTGACTTATCAGACATGTAATTAGAGGGTATGAAGAAAAGCTACCCTCCTTTTTAGCAGAGAAACTTTACAGGATGTCAGTCCTGTATTTTGGATGTGGGCAAATACATGAACTGAGTTTATCACACTAAGAAGAGCTTTTATATCTTTTTGTTTAGTAACCATCATGACTGAGAGCAGTTAGAGTCATAAAGTTAGTAAGCAGAGTGCAGCTTTTCTCTAATGTCTTGAATATATGGCTAAACATGTGAGATAACTGCTTATCTTTACTATGGGCAGTTTCCCTGTGTCAGCAAAATTAAGCTTTACTAAAGTAAGGAGGAGGAATATTTTGCTGAAATTGTACAAGGCCTAAAAATGGCTGCTAGTGGCCACAATATGTAAATAAACGAATGGTGAGTTAGTGAACTTTTGAAGGAAATAAAACTGAAAGTTATGCTAGTGGGCTTGCGTGTGTGTGTTAATTGCTAATACTAGGATCCTTCTATGCTCGCAATGATAGTTTTGGTGTGTTAAGATTAGCTAATCAGTGCTAAACACAAAGAAGCTGATGGTATATATTGATGTGATAGGGCGCAAATGAAAATGTATTAAATTTTCCTTTCTGGTTTTTGTGTTGTTACATTTTGATTTGGGGGACAGATGCCCTCACTACTTCCATGATTAGGCCTCAAACTTTAATTTTGAACAAAGGTTATCATTAGGGCTGGATCAAGTGCAATCAATTCACACTGCTGCTGGACTTCCCAAGATGCACTGAGCAGTTTTTGTACACTTTGCCCACGTATTTTACTACTGCATGCCATTAACATTTGTCTTCTCTCTACCCCAGTGTGTTTTTTCATCATCTCCTTATGGTCTCCTTGTCTCGCTTCTCTTTTCCCTGGCCCCCAAAGGTCATAGCAGATGGCAGCCCCTCTCTGAGCCTGGTTCTGCTAGGTTTCCTTCCAATAAAAGGAGTTGTTCCTTCCCACCATTGCCAAGTGCTGTTCTTAGGGGATTGTCAGATTGTGTGGGGTTATCTGTTTTGGTATTTAACCGTTTCCTCCCAATGGCAGTCAAATGTATAATGCCTCCAACCATACCTAAGACTGTGTAATAAACCTCTAGCCCAAAAATCTATTACTATTACACAATCTCTGTGTGTTTTAGTTTTTGATCAATTCTATTCTAATCTAGTGGTGGCAGTTGATCATATACATTACTGGAATTAATAACAATGACTGAAATATTTTGTGATCACAAAAAACTTAAAGTAAGATATACTCATTCAACATATGCCTCCAAAAGTCAAAGCAGTTCAGCAGAGGCCACCCAAGAGGCAGAGCTAAAAGGGAAAAAACAACAGCCTCGATTAATCTCAGTGACCACAGTGTATAAATATACATACCACACCCAAGTTTCAGTTTGCCAATAAGAATTGTCTTATTTAAACAAAAAAGACAGAAAGCTAAAGGGTTGTACGCAAAAAAAGCCCTCCAAAAAAACAATAACAACAGGTAAGCGGAGCCTAGACCAGCCCTGATTTAATACAAAAGAAAAGCTAAGAGCCTCTTTCTCAAAGGCAAGGAGTAAAAAAACATAAAGCCTCACAAGAAACCAAAGGATGCTTTTAAATAGAGGACAGAGCAACCATTAATCACTCCCACCTAAGAGAGGGAGAGAAAGCAGAGCAAAAGAGAGAGAGAGGAACAACACACAAGGAGTAGACATGTAACACATGAAAGTACTCAACTTTCATTGGCTTAATAACTGTTTAAGTATAATTTATTCTGCTCCTTTAAGTATGTCTGTATGTAAAGACATATTTCTGATTATGATTATCAGATAAGAACAAGAGTAGTAGAGAAGTGAAGCGCCCAAACAATAAAGAGTGCAGGCAGGATTCCACAAAAATGTTGAGGAAATAGATATAATTTCCTTCAAGATCCCTATCTCACACTCTACAAATGGGAAGCAATGTTGTTAATGAAGGTAGCATTGGTGAACCAATGAGACCTAGTCATGTTAACAACAGAAAAATAGAATAAGACGATAATGCTGTGGCTATGAAGGCCAGGTTAAAGCAGCAGCTCTGAATGTGTCACATGTAGCTCTCATCACATTTCCTGACTCTTTGTATAACATTACAAAAAGAAACTATGCATGGACTCTAAAACAGTTTTTTTTAAATTAAGCTGTAAACATGTTTTTTTAAATTATGTGAAGTTGGGCATCTATTGGAACTAAGTCTAAAAAGAGACCCACAACCATCTCCTTTGGCTCTTCTGATGGGACACTGAGGCATTCCCAAGCCAGTCTAGATGCTTAATCTCTCCAGTGTGCCTTGGGTCTAACCATGGCCTCCTCCCATGTCCAAAGAGGACATGCCTCAAAACTCCTTTGGGTTGTCCAACTATCTTAACTGGCTCCTTTTCAATAACGAGGAGTAGCAACTCTCTGAATTCCTCATGAATGACCCAGTTCCTAAAGCTATCTGAAAAGGAAAAGCCCAGACACCTTCAGGAGGAAGCTTATTTCCCTCACATGTATCTACCATCTCATTCTTTCAGTCCTCTACCTTGGCTGTGATTTCCACTGTTTGTCCTTCTGTGGTATCTTGCAGGATCCTGGTAGGTGAGGTTTATTAGTGCAATTTGAGTACCTGGTCAGTCTCCCTGGAGTATTTAAGAGCTGACTGTTTCAACTTTTGCTCTTTCTTTATTGACCCAGCAGCAATTTTGGAATGGCCTGTCTACCAGCAGAGTTCTCTGTTGTATGATGGAGGCAATGTACAAAGCATCTGGTACAACTGGTCTGTTGGCCATTCTTGCTCATGCTGTTGCTGAGAAGAGCAAAATAATAATATACAAAGAGCTGAAAGAGTAACAAGTGTTAAAAGCAGGGGAAAGTGTCCATTGCAGACCAGTACAGCATCCACACTGATGCTAATGATGCACCAGACAACAGCAAGACCATACAGTATTTGAACTCCAGTTGAACAGCAGCAACTAATTCCAAATCTAGAGTTCACCATTTTATAAGTGAGTCATGGCCTCTAACTTGGAGGTGCTAATCCCCCACAGAGGTCCTGATATCTTCAATAAATAAAGAATAACTATACTTTTTAAATTATATTTTTGTAGGAAACAAACCCTAGATGCCAATAGAAGTGCTTTCAATGCCCACCAGGGGGCTGCAGCTCCCACTTTGGGAATCACTGCAACAGGGGGTTGAGAGAACTCATTGGTACGCCCCTGAAATCAGACTTTATGCTGGTGTCAGGGGGACGAAATTTAAACTTTGAATTGGTGCAATGATTAGTTGAACGTGTGCTGTAAACTAATTAAAGAAATACTTGTTTTGCCTCTGGGATATCTGTAAATAGTTTGCATTGCTGCGGCAGCAGCCACGGGGCGGGATAAAACTTCAGCAGAGTGCGCCAGAAGAAAAAAAAAGCTCCTTTGACGTCAGCAACGGTAGGTTTCAGTAGTCCAAGATGGCGGCGGAGAGCGGGTTGGTTAACAGAACTCACTTGGAGAACAACTACAGCCACGGACTCGATGGCAAAGGTAAAGTATTTTTATTTGTGCGAAAAGACGTGTGACAGCGAGCTGATGGGGAGAGTGAAGCCGGGACCGCGTTTACAAGTTAAAGTGTTTATGTTTTGGTGGTCTTTGTCCCAGTCAGGGGGCTTTACCGTTAGCCAGACGTTTCTGTTTTCAGTTGGAGAGACCTGTGGTGTCCTGCCAAATGCCCCGGCCAGAATGTGTCTAGTGTAGCTCGCAAACAGAGCCAACTTGGTTTAAATTTCGAATTTTACTTGAGTTGAAATGAGTCTTATCGGGTTTTGAGTCCTCGCTGTTAAAGTGTGGGTTTTTTCTTAAGTAACTTGGGGAGAAAAAGCAGCTGTAGAAAATTGATTCCGACCCGGATACAAAATTCAAACGCGACACCTGTCTGCTCGTTTGTCCGGCCGTCACTTTCACCTGGTTTCAGGAAGGACCCACGGCTTGTCCGCGCTTTTTTTTTTTGTTTTGTTTTTTTTAAACTTTCCACATCCTGCATGCTCACTTTGAACTGTCTTAAAGTGCTTTCATTCTTAAGTTTGAAACCAATGTCCTTAAACCGGATTGTAGGCAATACAAATCGAGTAACGTCGTGCTAATCTCATCCCACTAATGACTGGGATATTTTTACATACCCTATAAGTAGTCTGCTCACTTTGTTAGCAGACCTAAACAAGGTAATTGCCAATCAGATCTGCATTTGCTTGTGTTTTTTTTTTTTTTTAGCAGAAAATAAAAATATCATAGCCGTGAGCCTGTGAAGATAATGTAGATCATTTGTCTCCTTTTTCATTTAGTTTTTTTGTATTGAATTTTATGTATTTTGTATATTCCTTGGCAGAGTTACATTAGCCTATTGCCATTGAGTGTAGTTGTGATGTAATACAAAGCTCTGACTTATTAACTAATTTTAACACAAACGCGAGAATTTAACGTTTCTTTGTGATAAAGCTTCTTAAGCCTCCTTTTCATCCCAGTGGGCAACTTCTATACCGTGCTGAGGAAAGTGGTTTTGCCATTTGTGTTTTTATTTTCCCTCCCCACACATTTGTTACACAGACAACCTGAGTAAATACAATATTCAGTTTTTAAATGAGGATGTAATTTATTAATGGAAAAAGGGTTAGCTACCTGGCCCTGTGTGGAAAAAGTAAGTAGCCTCCCTTATAAAATATGACTAAACACATTTTTTGTGACCTTTCACTAGTCACACCCAGCCCTGATTACTGCCAGACCTGTTGAATAAATAAATTATGCAAACTGAACCTGTCTGACAAAGTGAAGTCGGCTAAAACGTCTTAAAAAGTAACACATCAAGGCAAACTCTACTGAAACTCATCATCATCATTGACATCTATCAGTCTGGAAAGGATTACAAGGCTTTGAAACTCCAGTAAATCACTGTAAGAGCCATTATCAACAAATGGAGTAAACTTGGAGCAGTGGCGAGCTTTCCCAGGAGTGGCCTTTGGGAAAGTATTCTGTGTTCTGATGAGACAAAAATTTAAACTTTTTGGAAGTCAGGATCTGGCCGACTTGCTCTAATTGATGGAACCATAAATTCTACTCTCTACCACGAAATCCTGAAGGAGACTATGTGACTAGCAAGTTCAACCGCACTCACATTATGCAGCAGTACAATGATCTGAAACACACCAGAATAGTCCAATTCTGAATAGTTTAAAAATAATTGTTTTGGAGTGGCCTAGTCAAGTCCAGTCTTAAATCCAATTGAAAGGCTTTGGCATGACCTTAAACAGGTTGTTCAATCTCAAACCCTCCTGTGTGGCAGAATTAAAGCACTTGTGAAAAAAGAGTGGGCAAAAATTCCTCCACAGTGAAGTAAGACTCATTGTTATAAGCCCTGTGTGTGGCACAACCAGGTGTTAGGTTAGGGACCAGTTACTTGTTCACACAGGGTCAGGTGTTTTGGGGCTAATTTTCCCTTAATAAATTAAATCATTTAAAATTAATATCTTTGTCTAATATTAAAATTTGTTTGTTTTTAGTTATAAATCAGAAAGGGGCAAATACTTTTTCACAGTACAGTATATTTGTCTGCTAAAACTACATAGCCTACTACCTCAATCTCTTATAGCATAACTTTTTAGTAGATTTCATTTTAGGATATGAAAGCTTTTGTCACCCAGGAAAGGGATTGTGACCTTCCCATAAAAGGAAAAATCCACAGGACTATGATAAAAATACTTTTTTAATCAGTTTAAAAGTTGGGTTTAGATTACTTAACCTTAAAATACACGTTTGGTTATCAAATAACCATAAATAACATGAAAAAACATTTTGTTAAGTAAGATAACTGTATACATCAATAGATAACCCCTGAGAGAGCTAGATGTCATATAAATAGTCTAAACCTGCAAAAATAAATAAGGCAACTAAAGCTATATTCCTTTACAGGTAGAAAGAGAGGTGTGGAAGGATTGATTTCAACATGCAGCAAATTTTACAGGAAATCTGCCTTTTTTTCTTTTTTTCTTTTTTTTTTTAAAGATCGTGCCAGGCTAAACCAGCAGTTTGCATAGAGACAATTTTCATTTTACCTCATTAAGACTGTGGTCAGGCAACAAGATATCCTTTTCATGTTTAACCCTGTTAAACAGACGGTTTGATAAAAGATTGTAATGGCTTTTACCTGCAACAGTTCCTTCAGTAATACAGTGAACAGATGTGGTGTGCTATATCTTTGCTACCAGCTGTGTGTAACAGAAAGGAGAGGCTGCAGCTTCACCATAAACCATCATATAATAGCTATTGGTCTAAATTAGACTGTTAACTTGCCCATGATACTTTTCACTAGGGCTGGGCGATATATCGAGTTTTTAAAAAATAAAATAAAATAAACAAATATCGATATATTTTTATACGCGATATAAGATGTGACAATATCTTTTATATCGATATGGTCTATGTTACGTTATAATTATAGTTGTGGAGCCGCAAGTTTGCCTCTCTTTCGTCCACTTTTGTCTTTACGCAACGTTACTCGGCCTCGCCTCTCTTTCACTGAACACAACTCCCCCTCCTCCCCCATCGCTTCACCTGCAGGCAGCGACAAGATGGACACGGCAAATCTCCGTTAACAAGTTACTGCGCATCACCCCGTGCGTGGGGCTGGACGGCGTCAACGTGTTAACGAGCTAACCACGCTAACCCCATGCACGGCCTGAAATCCTTTCATTCTCTCAAAAATCGACAGCGCGCCTTATGTATGAATTCTGGTTGTGCTTGATGACCGCGAACCGATTTTATGTGGAACACGGCGCTCAGCAATCTGTCAAAAAATGTTTTAGTACGACTTTGGTAAGCTACGAAGCTGCACCGCTTGATGGATTGTCGGAGCATTACGGCTACCGAGGAGCCTCGCGGAGTGATACGTACTGTACGGTATTGTGCGTGTATAAGGACCATAAATGGCACCTGTTAAGAGACACGGTTACGAAGCAGATTTCAAACTCCAGGCTGTCAGTCACGAACTTGGGAACAGAGCAGCTGTGAAATCTGCCCTTGTTATTATGCTCAGTGTCTTTTAGTTTACATTTTGACTGCACAATTGTGAGCTCTTTGTTATGCACAAAAACAACATAGTTTTCTTTTATTTATGGAGCATTATTATTTAATAAATGCTCATAATTTATTTTTGAGTAGTTTTTTTCATGTACATCTACGCTGTATGTTAATAAAAGTGCCTGTGTGACATCTGGGACACAGCTTTGACTAAGAACTCTCTTTTTGTTCTTACCTCATGGCTTTAAAAAAATATCGAGATATATATCTTATATCGCCATCCAGCTAAAAATATCGAGATATGAATTTTGGGTCAGCCCTACTTCTCACTGTTTTACTGAGCTGTGGTCATAATGGTTATGTTGAAACCTACAGTTAATGTTAAATGTTAAAAGCCTGTCACATCTTTCCCGTCTATGTTGTGATAACTTCAACTTGTTTTACAAATGTAGAAAATGGTCTGTTGTCAGCAGTTTAATGCAGCGTACATTTGTTAAACCAAGTCAAAATATTTGACTGAATACTAAAGGGTTGCTGCTGTGACAGTCAGGAATCCTTATCGTGATAACCCTTATGTCTAGTTTGGAACACACCAGCTGACTCTGTGGCAACAACAACATTCACTCCGGCTGCTCTTAATCTGCACTTTGTCCTCGCAGACTCCACATTGGTCTGCTTGCTGCAACTCAACATTTCCCCTTGTTGACTCGTGTCCAGAGAGGCCAAGTCAGGTTGTCTTTTAGTGTTGGAGTGCAGGGAATTTAGCATAGCTGCATCTTAATAGCCTACAGTGAACTACTCCTCCTTTATGCATTGAATAAAAAACTATCACCTGTATATTCTGGATGTGCTACGGCTGGAAGGAGGAGTTTTAACCGGGCTTGTGACTAGCTGGTGTTACTAATCTGTGGTTACAGCAATAGATTTTTGCTTGAAATTTTCTCCTTTTCCCCCCCAACACTTTAAATGCCAGTTTTCTCTCTTGTGACTCAACTAGAAATGTTATTTGTTAATTGTTTAATCATGCTTGAATAACTGGATATGATGTTTTCTTTTTATAATACAGTTTTACTCCCAAAGGCCATTTTCTTTGTAATTTCTGCACTCCTACACAGACATTGCCTGTTTAAAGTAGGAAACATTCCATATTTAGACAGCTGCTTAAGTTACTGGACTGTAGCTTTATCAAAGTCTGCCTCAGATGTAGTGCAGGAGTCGAGGGGAGGGGGTGAGGGCAGGGAAGCTCATTTGGGATATGCTGCTGAGATGTAGGCTACCTTGCATACTATTCTTGCACTTGATAGTTAAAGATAACTGTGTAATGCTTCGGAAACCTTACTGCAGTAACCTGATGTTCACCTCTACAAATGACAACATCTTGTACTATACTATTGTTTCCTTTACATTTCTTGTTAATCCTACAGCCATTATTCAGATTTTGACAGCATAACTACAGATCACTGCAGGCACACAATGCA